CCGAATTTCTGAATTTCTGAATTTCTGAATTTCTGAATTTCTGAATTTCTGAATTTCTGAATTTCTGAATTTCTGAATTTCTGAATTTCTGAATTTCTGAATTTCTGAATTTCTGAATTTCTGAATTTCTGAATTTCTGAATTTCTGAATTTCCGAATTTCTGAATTTCCGAATTTCTGAATTTCCGAATTTCCGAGTTTCTGAGATTCAAGATTTTTGAATTTCTGAATTTCTGAATCTCTGAATTTCTGAATTTCTGAATCTCTGAATTTCTGAATTTCTGAATTTCTGAATTTCTGAATTTCTGAGATTCAAGATTTTTGAATTTCTGAATTTCTGAATTTCTGAATTTCTGAATTTCTGAGATTCAAGATTTTTGAATTTCTGAATTTCTGAATTTCTGAATTTCTGAATTTCTGAATTTCTGAATTTCTGAATTTCTGAATTTCTGAATTTCTGAATTTCTGAGATTCAAGATTTTTGAATTTCTGAATTTCTGAATTTCTGAATTTCTGAATTTCTGAATTTCCGAATTTCCGAGTTTCCGAATTTCCGAGTTTCTGAATTTCCGAATTTCTGAATTTCTGAATTTCTGAATTTCTGAATTTCTGAATTTCTGAATTTCTGAATTTCTGAATTTCCGAATTTCCGAGTTTCTGAATTTCCGAATTTCTGAATTTCTGAATTCCTGAATTTCTGAATTTCTGAATTTCTGAATTTCCGAATTTCTGAATTTCCGAATTTCTGAATTTCCGAATTTCCGAGTTTCTGAGATTCAAGATTTTTGAATTTCTGAATTTCTGAATCTCTGAATTTCTGAATTTCTGAATCTCTGAATTTCTGAATTTCTGAATTTCTGAATTTCTGAATTTCTGAGATTCAAGATTTTTGAATTTCTGAATTTCTGAATTTCTGAATTTCTGAATTTCTGAATTTCTGAATTTCTGAATTTCTGAATTTCTGAATTTCTGAATTTCTGAATTTCTGAATTTCTGAATTTCTGAATTTCTGAATTTCCGAATTTCCGAGTTTCCGAATTTCCGAGTTTCTGAATTTCCGAATTTCTGAATTTCTGAATTTCTGAATTTCTGAATTTCTGAATTTCTGAATTTCCGAATTTCCGAGTTTCCGAATTTCCGAGTTTCTGAATTTCCGAATTTCTGAATTTCTGAATTTCTGAATTTCTGAATTTCTGAATTTCTGAATTTCTGAATTTCTGAATTTCCGAATTTCCGAGTTTCTGAATTTCCGAATTTCTGAATTTCTGAATTTCTGAATTTCTGAATTTCTGAATTTCTGAATTTCCGAATTTCTGAATTTCCGAATTTCTGAATTTCCGAATTTCCGAGTTTCTGAGATTCAAGATTTTTGAATTTCTGAATTTCTGAATCTCTGAATTTCTGAATTTCTGAATCTCTGAATTTCTGAATTTCTGAATTTCTGAATTTCTGAATTTCTGAGATTCAAGATTTTTGAATTTCTGAATTTCTGAATTTCTGAATTTCTGAATTTCTGAATTTCTGAATTTCTGAATTTCTGAATTTCTGAATTTCTGAATTTCTGAATTTCTGAATTTCTGAATTTCTGAATTTCTGAATTTCTGAATTTCTGAATTTCTGAATTTCTGAATTTCCGAATTTCTGAATTTCCGAATTTCCGAATTTCCGAAATTCAAGATTTCTGAATTTCTGAATTTCTGAATTTCTGAATTTCTGAATTTCTGAAATTCTGAATTTCTGAATTTCTGAATTTCTGAATTTCTGAATTTCTGAATTTCTGAATTTCTGAATTTCTGAATTTCTGAATTTCTGAATTTCTGAATT